TTTTCATGTTTCTCAAGGAGCTCTCTACAGAAATTAAATATTTAAAGTAAAAGGGGAAGTCTGCAAAACAAAAATCAAGCTATTTATAGCAAATCTCAGACAGCAAAAAAGGTTATCTATATAAAGAAAAAACTTGGGGGTGCCTAGGCGGCTCAGTAGATTGAGCGTCCGACTTCGGCTCAGGTCACGATCTCACAGTTTGTGGGTTCGAGCCCTGCGTCAGGCTCTATGCTGACAGCTCGGAGCCTGCTTCAGATTCTGTGTCTCCTGCTCTCTCTCTCTGCCCCTCCCCCACTCATGCTCTATCTCTCTGCCTCAAAATAAATAAACACTAAAGAAATTTTTAAAAAAGAAAAAACTTGGGAATCAAGAACACCTATTTGTCACTCATGCTTTAAGCATTATTATGGCTTGCTCTTAGAGGTCTCCTTAGCACCTAGCAGGATAGCAAGAGGGCACACAGCAAAAAGCTATCTAAATTCCAATCAAAATCTCCACCTCTCCACTTCTAACCAGCTCAACGGCCTTGGGCAAGTTACTTAGTCACTCAGTTCTTCAGTTACATCATAGGGATATGAGGACTGAGTCCATAGACACAAAGCATTTTGGTATACCTGGCACATTTCCCTAAGATGATGGGAACTCAACCACATGTTCAATTTAATTCACTTTCAAAATGTGCACCATAGAATTTACAACTGTAATGAACCCTACTCATGATGGAGTGTAGTCCATTCTCTTCATTGTGCAGATGAGAAATTTGCTTCAGGTGCCAAAGCTATGAATAATGAAGCCAGGTGTGACCTCTGAATGCATTACATAACCAGCGGCTACTTTTCCAGTAAGAAAACTCCCCATTCTTCTCTTTTTCCTGCCAATGCCCTTCACTGACAACCCCGACCTTTTTTTTTCCCCCACATTTGAGAAGGGTAGGTGATGAACACATGCACACACAATGTTGTGGAGAAACCATGTTGTCTATCTGCATGAACAAATTGATGAAATCGAATACTGACATCCTAAGATATTTGGTTCTGCCGAATTCTCTAAAAGAATAAAGCACTTACTTATTGGCACACGAGCTATACAACCAAGTAACTACTAACATTTGAGTACCAGCCAACAATTTTCATGGGTGTTCTTCACAGGTATCATGCATTCTTTCTAGGGTCTTAGTCTCTTGGAAAAAAAAAAAAACCCTGCACACTTCCAACCTGTAGTTTACAAAGCATTCCACACTTTCAGCTGAGGCTGCCAAAGAGCCTATTCTGAAAGCACAATATGCATTTTCCAAAAGCCCAAATCAGAGCCACATGTGTTCAGTATACGTCAACAGTGAGTACTTGCGTATTAACTGTAGGTTCTGAGACACATCCCCTTTCATTTCTTGCATTTAGTGCCTGAAGAGGGAGGAACAATTTAACAAGGAAACAGCTGCGAGAACAATGAATAAATCTAAAGCCTAGTGACTTTTAGAGTATGGTAGTAAAATGTACTATGCAACTAACAATTATATCAAGAAATGAAGCCTCCTATGACAAGTGTGCTCTAACCTGACTTGCCGTGCACTCAAGAATACAAAAAGCCAACGAGGACAATGAAAAAACACAGTATTAGAAGACGAACATTTTTCCTTCCTGCCCCACTTTTCTGGAAACACATAAATAGGAGCTAACTGGAATATAAAATAAAAACATTATTTTATTCTCTTGATAACATCCCACTTATTTCCTTCCTTTCTTCCTGTAAACATGATTACACATTAAAATAAGATAAAATAAAATCAAGAATTATTAGTTTCCTATTGCTGTGTAACCAACTGTCACAAGTTTAGTGACTTAAAACAAGAAAACGTATTATCTCACAGTTCTGTAGATCAGAAGTCTGGGCACATGATGGCTGCATTCCCTGCTCAGGATCTCCCAAGGCAGAAATCAAGGTGTCAGCAGGACCTCATTCTTGTCTGGAGCTCCTGGAGGAAAATCTTCTTCCAAATCGTACTCACGTTGTTGACTGAATTCAGCTCTTGTAGCTTGCATAACGTGAGTCCCTGTTCCTTTGCCAGCCACCTGCATTTTGAGGCTTGTGATCCCCTCCATCTTCAAAGTCAGCAGCCGACTCTCTCTGGGGAATCCCTTAGCACACTCTTTTGTCAGGAAGAGCCAAGTCCCTTTTAAGATCTCCTCTGAATAGATACAAGCCACAAAACCCAGCCTCTCTATATTGAGGGGCACTGATTTGGGGCACCTGGGTTGTTCAGTCAGTAAAGCTTCCGACTTCCGGCTCAGGTCATGATCTGGCGGTTTGTGATTTTGGGCCCGGAGTCGGGCTTTGTGCTGACGACGGCTCAGAGCCAGGAGCCTGCTTCGGATTCTGTGTCTCCCTCTCTCTCTGCCCCTTCCCGTTCATGCTCTCTTTCCCTCTCAAAAATAAACATTAAAAAACTTAAAAGAATAAAAGATGCACTGATTTGAAACTTGAATCACCTGAGCAAAACCCTTTACCACCATACTGACCTTGGGTGTTTAACTGCCTGCCTGGGAGAAGGGGCCTCTGCGTGTTCCCACACCAAAGTGGGACCTTTGGGCGCCATTTCAGAATTTTGTTTCCTACAGCCGGCAAATCAAGAGTATACTCTACTCAACAGGAATTAACAGGTTATTTTTACTTAAACACCATTTTGGATTTCAATCTCTTCTAAAAACAAACTTTCTTGTTATCTGTTCAGACCTAAAAGAAAAAGAAAAGCAACGTGGAAGAATTCTAAAAGCCAATTTCAATTATTTAGAAATCCATTGCAATCTCATCTAAGTAATTGATATTTCTCATTACGGTAGCCTAGTGATTTTTAAATTCTTTTAAATCAAAGGTTAGACGTTGACAAAAATGCTCCACGGAGGATTAAGGAAACATTAATGATGTGCAAATATTGATGTGTAGTTACTTGACAGTGAAAATAATTTTACATTATCGGCCATCCTCCCGAATTAGTGAGAAAGCCACCTGGAGAGAATACTAGATTGAAGACTGCAGCACAAGAAAAGCTGTAAGCATGGGAGTATCCCATTAGCTCTGCTAAGTAAAGGGTGTGTTTTATAGACTGTAACATGTATCCCTTTTATTGTTTTTCCCCTCTCCTTCCAAACATCTTTATAGCATTAACCACTCATGTCAGGAAGCACAAGACGATGTGTTAAAAGAAACCTGGTTCCCATTCTACTATGCCTTTAGCCATCTATGCATCTTTAGAAAAGCCATTTATCTCTACACCTCATTTGTAACATAAAACCATTTTAGAATTTTTTCTTAATTTTAATGTTTATTTATTTTTGACGGAGAGACACAGAGAGAGAGATAGAGCATGAGCGGGGGAGGGGCAGAGAGAGAGGGAGACAGAATCTGAAGCAGGCTCCAGGCTCTGAGCTCTCAGCAGAGCCAGACGCGGGGCTGGAACCCACAGACCGCGAGATCATGACCAGAGCTGAAGTTGGACATTCAACCGACTGAGCCACCCAGGTGCCCCAAACCATTTTAGAATTTTAGGGCTAAAATGGACCTTTGAGATCACGATCTTTATAGTTTCAGCCAGCTCTAGTCAAATTTATCCAAACACCAACTTTTAAAAAGGGAAAATATTCCAATTAGAGAAATGTGATATTTAAATTGATATAGCAGGTTATTTACTTTCCTGGTTGGAGAAGGTTATCACTTTTATTACTTTTAATTTTAAAGTTCTGCAGATATTTTCACATTTTGATAAATGAAGCATCTTAATCCTTCTCCTAACCCCGTTACAGTTCAATACACTGAGCTATGGTTCTGCTTATGTTCTCAACTTCATTATTTACAGCAGTTAAAAGAATATTGTTATCCTACAAAACTGCAGACACTTCCGAATTCAAAGCCTAATGTGTTAAAATCAGTTCAATCTTCCCAGAATAATAAGGCCATGTGACCTTGCTTTGGATGATCTGCAAGAAAGGAGAAGCCAGATTCACAATTACTCTGAACTTCTGTTTATTGACATTCCTGAACCTTTGACATAACCTAATTCAACTTACATTTACAGAGAGGCTATGATACATCTGATTTTGTATCGGACTAGAAATTTCCCACGGGCATCTTTTTATCCTCAGCACATAGTATGGTGATTAGAACTTAGCAGGTTCTCAAAATATATTTTTAGAATGAGTCTAGAAACCGCACAGGTCCTGCTTTCAAAGAGCTGACAATCTAGTGAGAAAGATGGATTTTAGCCCAGTGACACCCAGTTCAGGCTTCTAACCTACAGAACGGTAGGAATATTAAGTTTGTGTTGTGTTAAGCCACTAAATTTGTGGTAATCTGTTATGCTGTTATGGTAGCCATAGGAAACTAACTTGGGGATCAGGGAATTAGTTTCAGCTCTGACAAGGCTTCACTGTGGTGGTATTTCCGGAAAAACAAAGGGGCGGGGGGGGGGGGGGCAGGCGGCGGGGAAACAGGTGTTGTTAATTAAATCCTTGCTCTGAGCAGCACTGGCGCAAAGTGGCCTTTTATGTGGAAATGCAAAATGTCAAGCCCTACACCACCCCTACTGAACCAGAGGAAGCAGTTTAACAAGATGCCCAGGTGAACTGCATTCTTATTAAAGTTTGAAAAGCACTACGTTGAAGTTATTAAAAACTATTTTAGAATGTGCAGAAATCTTTGATTCTTCTTTTTTGAAACCCAAATTTGCTGGGGGAAAAAAATACTCAACCACACCCACAACAAGACAGCTGGCTGCTGTTTGTTACAATGACAAAAGAAATATAAACAATTCAATTACTCTTAAATAATGAAAAGGCCCTTCAGTAAAATCCATTTGCCCCACCTGCAAAGGATTTTCCTTTGACAACTCCCTTTGGTTGAGAGATTTTAAATGTCAAAAGTTTTACACCTTTAAATAAATATTCGAATGCCTGGTATAGTACTCATAGAGCTATATTATGGGGAACAAAATAATTTCATTCACATAATACATTTTCTTTAATTACTTTAATATAAAAGACAGCAATGTTCCATATTTCACATAATATAAAAAAAAGTTTTAAAACCCTCTAATAAGTTTTTAAAGAAAATAAATTTATTGAAGAGTAGCAATGACTACAAAATTAATACTACCAAATCATTACTCAAGCCTTTGCATTAATTGTAATATTTGGAGGGTAGGAAGAGAAAATATCAAATAAGAATATGGACACTGAAAAACTCGATTTTACCCAGGCTTTAACTCTTTGCTAAATCTGATGCATATTAGAATATGTATTCAAGATTGCTGTAAACACATTCAGCCAAAGTCAGCTCGTCACTAATTATACAGTATTGTAAATCACTCCATTTACAAAATTAAAACAAACAACGGCCCAATGAGTCTTTCTAGGTAAAATATCCCAGTAAAAAAAAGAACATTAACAGAATTTGTGATGATGACTAGAACAAGAAAATTAGCATACTCAAGAAAGAAACATAATTATTCAATATAATTTTGTTTGGTTAGATCAATGCAACTCACTCAAGTAAGATGACTGCATTGTGAAGGAAAGGGGTAACATGATCCAAAGGCCTGTTTTAAGTTCTCACCTAATAATCCTCTTTCAATCAACCTGTAAAGTAAAAGCACAGAATCCATACTACAACATAGATCTGAATGATACTACAAAAGTCAAACCATGATCGGCATATTTTTCTTTACAGTGCACAATTTAAGAAAACGTCACAAGAGTATTCACTTTAGAAAATAATGATCTGTGGTACAGTAAAGACAAAACAGGCACCTCCATTATAATTTTTAATAAATAAAAGCACATTAAACAAAAACAAAAAGAAAAGGAATAAAGCAGCACCTGAAGCCTTCAACACTGTAACTAAATGCTGGTACCCGAAGGGTCTAACTGCTTACGTTTTACTAAGAGGCGCAAAAGAAGAGCCAATTTTTGACTTGAACGTTTTAATTCTAGTAGAGACAAGAGCTTGTCTGGGCTTACAGTCCTGTCACCTGATGCCGAGGAAGAGGCCAGTCCTTCAAACGTCCTTATACTTTGGAAAGCAGGCCTGACTCTGGGGCGCTCGCCTTAATTAAATTCTGAATTTCCTTGAATTTTGGATGGTCTTTATCTGCCACCAGCTGTAGCAGAACAGCCTCACTGGTCGTCACTATGATCCCAGTTCGAGCAAGACGCTTAAAAAAAAAACAAAAACAAGATAAGGACAAATCAAGAACTAAGCATGACAATGAACAGTATATTACAGAAGCAAAAGCAAGGGTAGGACACAGTTAATTAGCGTCCTCTAGTAAAGCCATGGTCCTTAGTCATACCATCAAATTCACCCATGGAGACAAACCAGAAACCCATTATGATTATTCTCTATATTAGTAATACGGACAAGAAATAAGCAGAAGAAAACACATAGCTAATATTATGATTTATATGTACCAGGGAGGAAAAGAAATCAAGACTATGAATGCACAACGATTTTTATTTTTTCTCTATTTCCAAACATGTGACCTACAGCATGTGTGTCCTTCCTGTAAATAAGAAATGACCAGTGGTAGAACACCTTCAAGTGAGGGCACCTGTGTGGCTCAATCAGTTGGGTGTCCAACTTCGGCTCAGGGCATGATCTCACGGTTCGTGACTTCGAGGCCCACATGGGGCTCTGTGCTGACAGCTCAGAGCCTGGAGCCTGCTCCGGATTCTCTGTCTCCCTCTCTCTCTGCCCCTCTCCCACTCACGCTCCGCCCCTCTCTCTTTCTCAAAAACAGATAAATATTACCAAAAAGAAATTTAGAAAAAAAAAAAAAAGAAGACCTCCAAGCAAGGTCTAGGAATGTGCCCCTGGGATGATGATAACAGAACCACCACCACTGCCACCATCATAAACTTCAGAATTACTACACACGAGTATAAAATTAAGGCTGTCTAAAGTTTCACTGACGGGTCAATGAATGTCCTTGCCAAATTGCCCCAGGGGAACCATAATAAAGAACCAAGGACAGAAATCTCAAGGAGGGAAGGAAGAGGGCAAAGAAGACAAAGTCGAGAAAAAGGCAGAGAGTGATCGAGAACTGAATGAGAATTCTAGAGTAGAGAGGTACTCTTAGATGTCTCTGTTATCAGAAACTACAGGGAAAAAACTGGCCAACTGCTATTCCAAGAAACATCTACTAAAAGAACCATGGAAGACAGGTGGTTAGAAATAATTCCCAGGCAGGTCAGAAGAAATGACCTAGATCAGTCACTCCTCATAAAGAAGGAGTCCCATGAAGAGCCAGGACATCCTTGCAGAGTGAAGGTTAATCCTTCAGATGACTGTAGATGCACCTGCCCAATTTTCCCACGGGCATTGCAACCCCTTCCTTTTTAACCCCAAGGACGCAGCATGGAGTAGGAGCCATAGCCTACTCTTCAGAAAGCAAGCTTGGACTCAACAGCCAGTGTGGAAGGGCACGCAGAGCAGCTGACGAGAACTCTAAAGAAATGAACAAACAGCAGAGTTACATAGGGAAGAGCGAGGAAAGACAGCAAGCGTGCTACGCTAGTACTCTTTATGTTGAGACAAATAACCCAGGTAAGTTATCTCTGAGTTTCTTAAAGACTTCTGGAAGCTAATTTCCTCCTCCTTGCCTTTTAGTCAACTTCTGCCTACCATACCAAAACCCTAAGAAATCTCCAGGGCTGTGTGCTAGGTTCGGAGACAAGGGCAGGGGACAAATATGAGACTAGATGCAGCGCAGCTGTGTGAATGTCTTCAGACGCAGCTCCCTCACTCACTAGCTGGCGGTCCTGCCCAGCCTTCCTCACTGGCCAAGGTTCAACCAGCAGACTTTCAATGATTTGCTCTGAATCCCAATCACATACTTTCAGTGTCCGCAAGAGTGCTTTACACTCAAGAGTGCCAACAGAGGTCAGTCCTTGCTTATCTCTCTAGTTCCTTAGTGAGGCAAGAAGGACAGAGAACTGTTTGTTCCCAGATGGAAGGAAGAAATCAGATGACTCCTGAAGAAACCAGCTTTCCCTAGTGCTCTGCTGACCACAATCTGCTTGACCGCAGGCCAACAATCCTCAGTGACGCTGAGGCAGGTCACCGTGGCGGGAATAGGCTGGAATGCTCGAGGCACAGAAACACGTATTAGTCAACTGAAACCTACACAGTGTTACTTAGCTCCAAGACGGAGATATGGCCAGTAGTGACTGGACTCAAAACTAATCAAGCCAAGAACCTGTATGAGGGAGGCATGGCTCAGCAATGTGCAAAGCTTTTAGAACAGACTCCCAGACCTTCCCATGGTGCCTGCCAGCCCCAACTGAAAGGTACCTGAGCAGAGAGAGAAAAGCACCAACTTGTCCAGACATAGGCAGGTTCGTGTACAACAACATGAGGTGTGAGGACACCTACAGTACCGGCCCCAAACTCTCTTTCTTTCCTGGGTTCAAAAGAGGCAGTTAAAACTGCACATCTTTAATGCACACAGATACATAACTTATTAGGCTTCTGAAATTCATCCCCTACACTTTGCAAAAACAGTCCAAAGAGGCCTCCAAAAAAGAAAAGTTACTGTGATCCACAAATCTCCAAATGCAAGGGCACAAAGCCATGACAGCTTCAGAGAGGGCAAAGCGCAGAACAAAGACAAAACCCAATACATTTCCAACCAACATCAACAAACCTCCACAAGTACAAGGGTATCAAGTTCCAGAGAGGGTTTTCTTCTCTTTTATTTTGCATTTACCCTACCAATTATTAGTTGAAAGAAACAATGCCTGACAGATGGCTGGTGCTCAAAATATTTTGTCGAATAACCCACATACCGCAAACTCTGGCACAGAAGTTTCAGTAACAGTAATTATAAATCATCTTAGTATAATAATCTCAACGGGGAATATGGGGAGTTTCAGGAATTCCTTAGGTAGTTGTGTTCTAAAGGAACAGAGAAGGAAGCTGGCCCGATTGCTATTTAACTTTCAAAGTCACATGTTAAAAGAAAGTTACTTAACATTTCTCCCAATAAATGAGGTATAAACTACAACACCTCAAATATAAAATTAAGAAAGACTAAGAGAAAATTGTGCAATGTGGCATGCCTCCTCCATCAACACCTGACCTCATTCTTTTTTAACTTTTCAACCTCCATGCTGGACCCCAAGGCAGTGCTGGGGGCTCTGTCTCTGCCAAAGCCACCCACACCAGATTCTTTCCTTCCCTCCTGAGAACTTCTCACGACTGGTCCCTTCTGGGTATTACAAGCTGATGTAATGCTTCTACGTTTCAGAGAAGACTAACCTCATAGAGACTATTATAAATAATAACAATAAAAGTAAATGCAGCAGCTAACCTGTGTTTACTGTTATCAGGCACTACACTAAATGCCATCAACACATTAACTCATTTAATCCTCACCAAATCCTGCCATGTAGTGGCTATGATTATTTCCATTTCACCAGTAAATCTGAGGCATATGTACTAGCTAAATTGTCCTTGGACACAGATTTACTAAATGCCACAACCTGCATTCAAACCAGTATTATCCCTCCAGTGTTTTGACTCCTCATCACTGAGATGAGACTACTTCTGAAAGAATGAGTAAATATCCTGACTATGTTTTTAGTCTGTCTGGTGAGAAGACAGAACTGCCAACAAACTTGATAAATGCCATAATATAAAGACATGTCTCAAAAACTTACTTGAATGTATGACAGAAGTCCTTGCAACTTATTATAAGGAAGTAAGATTTTTTTTTTTTTTTTTTTTTTTGGATGTTTGTAGTGTTCCAAGTTCTGGACCTCGGCCCTCCTAGAGAAGGGATGGCCAACCAGGGCCTTAGAACAACTGCTGTTGCCAATTCCCCAGATGCCTCTGCATCAACCCTCTGCACTGACTTTTCTCCTTTCTTCCCTCTGACTCTTTTTCATTTGCCTTACCTCACCACCCTTGGGCACACTGTGAGCTAACGAAATGATTTAGCAATCCAACAGAGAAAGTGGTTCACAGGCCAGCTTGTGCCCCAACACTGGAGGATCTCAAAAAACAAAAACAAAAACAAAAACAAAAAACAACAATTTGTATTTCCCGTTCTCAACAGAAATGATCAGTTAAAAAACTTGCCAACTCAATCCACATGGACATTACTCTAAAATTATTACAGAATTAGAATTAAACAAGAGAGAGAGAAAGAGAACAATCCACAATATGGAGTGAATGTTTCAAACAATTATGTGGTAGTTTGCGTCTCAACAGGAAGAGAAAATGCTTACAGAAGACGACTGTTAAGCAACCTTGACAAAACATCACTGATTCCCTGACTATGATCCAACCTGACACGCTGGTGCAGACAGCCAAGAAACAATGTGTCTGAGTGGTGTCCACAGGCAGTGACATATCTCCTAGTCCCAGAGATTCACATGTGAGGAAGCTTAATATAAGCAGAGTCAGTCTTAGGCCCACCACTTTGGTTTAACTTGGCTGAGTTAAACCAAGGTGGGCTGTTTTTGATTTGCAAATCTCTAAATGGTTCAGACTAAGCTTTCTGGAATACCTCTTAGAAGTTCAAACATCAAACCAAAACAAAGTCCAATGAAAGATGTGCAAGAGCTTTTGGTCTCACTAGAACTCCAGACCTCAGGAGACAGAAGATCTAAAACAATATGGTGGCAAGACATCAAAAGTTGGTCAGCACACGACTCTGGAAGTCAGTGAGTCCACTATGGTCAGAGTACAACTCAAACTGAAGAGGTAAATGCTTCATTGCTGTGAAGTACTCATTATTCTTCAAATTAATTTGGAAAATTTGACCACTCATTTGTTTGAAACCAGGACAAGTACCTCAAGAGCAAACATCCGGTCCATCATGCTTCTCGATGAGGTGGCATCAGCAACGATATGAACCTCAATACCTCGGCCAACTAGTTCCAGAGCTGTTTGCTGGATGCACACATGAGTCTAGTAGGAAAGTAAAAAATCATACGTAAAAACGCAGTAAAGCATTTTACAAATGCGTGACACAATGATAAAGCAGAAAGAATACTACAGCTCTCACGACCTTGTCCTACACCTAGATTTGCCTCTAACTTGCTAGGTGCTCTTGAAAATAAACAGCATCTCAGGCTTTGGTTTTTTCATTGTAAAGTCAGGAACTGGATTACATCAGGTTTTTTTCACACTAGGAACTTGAACATATTCTTAGAGCTCTGTGAGAATTTTTTTTTTTTTTTTTAAAGATTTTCATCTGTCATCTGAATGACCTTCATACGACTGACTACTACCACTCGGTTTTGATGCCACTTGCAGTCGGGTTTATTTCTGAACTCACACTGAGTGCCTAACACAAAGAATGAGTCAGCAGTCCTGCATATTGAGAAACAAGTAGAAAAACTAAGTTGTTACTGGGTACCCAGTAGTAAAGGTAGGCCAAGTTAAAAATAACAAGTGACAAAGGCAAAAAATATCCAGTATACAGCACAAGCAGATGTATTATATAGACTCCATTTTTCTAAGTACTAACTTGTAACAATTCATTAGCAGAGAATACAGAGTAAAAACATGTCCCAACAATAACTGGGTTATATAAGCAATGAAAGCACATTTCAGTAATACCAGGATGCCAACCTTATGTGCACATGACAAGTGAGCTTTGGAGAATTATCAACTGACATTTCATTAAAATTAGCACTGGAGGACTGTTCAAAGATGATTTTGATTAGGCATGAGGTAGAACAATGATGAATGAGCAAAAAAAGTGCAGAAGTCAGCAACAGTATTTGGCATGACATTAATACAAACAAGCTTACCCTATATCATCATTATCGAAGTCAAAATACAGAAATATGTAACGCCTATCTAAACCCTAGGCTACATCTTAAAACCTACTGTATAAATCCTACCATCAATACATCATAGGTGTATGAAAGTAACACTATTTGGGCTGCATTGTTTTTACAGTTTTCATAACTTTTAAATTTAATTCAATAGTTGTTTAAATGCTATGAATAAATACATGTATTCCATTCATAGATATCCAAAAAAAGATCAAAAAATCATTTTAATCAGCATTAAGAATCTATGGGTTTTCTGTTCCTTTAAAAAGGTATGTAAGCGATCAAGCGTGAAGGACAATGAAATGCACGATTTCTATGGTTTTTCTACAGCAAATACATGACCAACGTGAAATCCTACAACACATAAATAAAAATAACGCCTTTAATAAAAACGTGCTCCAAAAGTAGTTAAAAGGAAAGGTGCAACAATCAATCAACCCACATTCAAATTCAATTCCATCCCATAACCAGCAGTATGACCCTGGGCAAGTGGTACAACATCTGTATTTTCGTTTCCTCATCTACATAACAGGGGGAGATGAAAAGTACTTAATTCGCTCAGAAACTCACTGGGGAGTGTTTAATGAATTAACAGATGCAGATCAATGCCTTGCACACAGTCAACACTTAATAAAGGGTGGCCATTTTTCATCATTACTACCGCCTACCACCTCATCTATCTACAAAACGGCACTGTGGACATAGCAAGATTTTACAAATGACATTGTGCCCAAAACATAACAACAGGTACTTACTTCTACTCCAAATAACACAACACTCCTGACTCCAGGAATCTCTGCTAACGCTGCTTCTACTTCTGGCAATACCATTGAAAACTTGGTCTTTGGAAGTACCAATTTTACACCTGTTAAATCAATTTCTTGAACAGTGCTTCCAAGACCTTTAGGATACTGTTCTGTTACAATAACTGGAATTCCTAACATCCGGGCCCCTTGTAACTGGAAAAAACAAACAAACAAACAAAGACAATTAGTAATATACAATTTGCACATATATAAATGTATATCATGCTTCTGCAAACTGGAAAAAATAAACAAACAAACATACCAATCTTTGTCCCACACTAATTATATCCCCAAAATATTTGATGGCTGGTCTGAATCGTTCCTGCATATCACAGCAAAAAAACACAGTGCTTGAAGGTGTAAGATTTCCCAGGGTGGTGAGCTGAGAAAAAAAGAAAAAAGAATGATTTAGCACTCGTTATACAACGACATTTATTTTCAGTGGAGGTCAATGAAGGAGAAAAGTGTTCCTACTGTTTGACCCAGTAAGTCAATTTCTACCACTATTATCTAAAAGAAATGATTCGAATTACAAAACCAAACAAACAAACAAAAATATCCAAAGATGTTCCCTGAATTGCTTTCAATAGTGAAAATTAGAAATAAACCAAGGACCAACAATACAGAAATGACTACACAAATTTTAACACGTTCACATGATAAAACATTTTTTAGAGAACCAAAATAACATATACAAATAAGTTTTCAAAAAATTTGAGCCATCTACAAAGAAATGCTCATAATCTAATGTTAATTTTAAAAAGAGAGCACAGTTCAGTAGTATTTCAATAATGTAAAAGTACAAATAGAAGACAGAAGCAAATATAGGAGACTATTATCAAGAAGAAGCAGCAAATATATGAGTATTAACAAGTAGATACCACTTTTATTTTTAGTGGTATGACTGTTCGAGTGACTTTGTACTTTATTATCTATGTGCTGGTCTGAGGCACTCTGGCATCAACCTTCCTTTGGTGTGAACTCTACAGACATGCAACACCAAGGTCATGGCAGAATGGGTGTGCCATCTGTAATTCGAACATTAGGTACAGGGTTTTCCTACTTTGCCAATAGAGTCTGATTAACATAAATATTCAGTCATCTTAAATTACACATTGTATCTTTAACTGTTTGCTTACTTTAATTTTAATGCAGGTGTCATGCCTCCATTTTGGTCCTTTTCCAAAGCAGTATGATGTATACAGAGGTACTCAGGACACAATTTTAAAAACCAATCACTATATATGAATATGTACTTTAAATTCTCAGTAAAAATTAAATTTTGGCTAGAAGGGCTCAAAATCCAAGTGGGTCCCTAGTCATCCACAATGTGTTTAGGGCACACTACAAAATGCAGCTTACCCACAATTGGTCTGTTTCAGATTATAGCAATGCAACTCAGCCATTCTCGCCACTCCACGGCTATGAGAGCAGGAAGCAGGCAAAGTAAACAGGGAAAGGTTTAAGTGTGCTGGACGGACACGCACTATCATCCTACAGCTCATACCTGCTGTATCTTCAGCTCACAGATCTCATCTCAGATAATGGACAAACTCTGTATACATTCCTAACACGGTTGGTTGTGCGGACTCTAAATTCACAAAAGGTTATAAACGGCAAACCAGAAAGGAAACTGCTGGAGACCAGCAAACTGGTATCAGGAAGAAATGATAGATGACAGAGAAAAGATTCAAAATACAATAAAAGCAGATCACAATTCAACTAGTTCCACACTCTAGCCTTCTAGTGGAGGACTAACAGTATGTACATAACATATAAACTGGGACAAGATCGTTTTAGAGCACGCTCAACTCAGAGAATGTTAAATTATGTAATACCCCAGGACCACAATACTAAAATGGTCAAAATACTCAATACTGGGATATTGCAAGGAATAAAACCTCACCTACCCAGAAATCCTAAATATTGAGAGTTGTGGTCTCCTGGGGTTTTTGTTACCTGGTGCTTCCCTCTATCTCCTTTCAGACTGTGAGGTATCCTGTTCCAGGCAAGGAACCACATCAGATATATGTCATAGTAGTCAAAGACTGGGGACGTCAGAAAATGCAGCCATAAGATCCTCACCACCTTGCAAAACCCTTCTAGTGTAGGAACTTACCTGTAGGCCTCCAGCAACCAAAGAGAGAAACCACAGAGATAATGGCAAGGCACATTATTATGCAGCGATGATTTGATTACAACTTAGTTAATGAAAAATGCCCGGATAGCCTTCTCTCAGCGAGTCAGACTTTAACTCCTGACACCCCCTAGGACATGGTCTGCACCAAGTAACTTGCTTCCTCAAAGTAGAATATAGAGGGAGTATGGTGACTTTGTAGTGGAAAAACCTGGTAGACATTGCCTCAGCCAGGTGATCAAAACTGAGATAATCTGTGAGGTCATATTGATAGTATATAAGACAAAATGTGATGACAACAACCTTCATGATCTGGCTCTCAAAATCCCCAAACCCCATTTTAAGCACTAGAAAAACATCAGATAAACCAAAACTGAGGTACATTCTACCAAAATATCTGACCAGTATGACTCAACATTGTCAATGACATCAAAAACAGTACAAGTCTGAAAAACTTTCATAGCCCAGGGGGACCTCGGAAGACATGACAACTAAATAATTAGAATCCAGGAATGGATCGTGGAAGAGAATTTGCAGGCTAGCAAATTAAAAGTGGTGATGACCAAATGCCATCACAAGCAAAATACAACTACAGATCGATGCATATTCAGGAATCATGAAAAACTCACATATAAAAATATATGGATGTATACATACACACCTTCATATATGTATATATCTACAAACAACCCTGTATATACACATACAGGTAATACATATTCCAATAAATATTTAAATACAAAAAATTGATGGGAGCCAGTAGCTTCCCCAACAAAAAAGTGTTCCAATATAAACTGGTGACCACTTTCTTAAGAACTGTCATAGCTGTTATTTGACCTTAGATTTCAAAGACAAAAAACTTTTCATCCCCGAGTACATTATAACCATTAACATGACACTATTTTCCCCTCTTCTAGTGAAAATGTGTTCTGACATTTTCTCACAATGGCTGTACATCTGCAAGGAACCTGTACCTCCCATGCTGAGTGCCTCAGGTTACTCAGGGCAGACACACACAGGGAGGCTGGCCTTGCTTAGGGATGCTCTGTGTACCAGTTCTGTTCTTCCGTAAAAGTAGTACATGGTGTTATATGTTAAATTGTGTCCCTCAACATGCATATGGTGAATTCGTAACCCCCAGTACCTCAAAGAGCGACTTTATTTGGAAAGAGAATCACTGAAAATCTAGTCAAGATGAGGTCACAATGGAGAAGGGTGAGTGCCTAATCCAACATGACCAGTCTCCTTATAAAAAGGGGAAATTTGGACAGAGAAGGCCTTGTGAAATTGAAGGCAGAGGTTAAGGTAATGGGTCTATAAGCCAAGCAATGCTAAAGACTGCCAGCAAACCACCAAGAGCCAGGAAAGAAACATGGAACAGATTCTCCCTCACAGCCCTCAAAAGGAGTCAGCCCTGATCACTAGCCTCCAGGACTGTGCAGAAACAGATTTCTGTCGTATAAGCCACTCAGTTTGTGGCACTCTGGTACAGCAGCCTTCCAGGGCGAACTACTACAGTGTGTAAACTGTGTGCCTTTAGGAATGATTAAAGTTTGGAATTGTAGTGGCGCCTGGGTGGCTCAGTCAGTTGAGCATCTGACTCTTGATTTCGGCTCAGGTCATGATCCCACGGTCGTGGGATTGAGCTCCACCTCAGGCTCTTTGCTGAGCAAGGAGCCTGCCTGAGATTCTATGCTCTCTCTCTGCCTCTCTCACCTGTTCTCTCAAAAAAAAAAAAAAAAAAAGTTTGGAATTGTAAATATGATGTGTTCAAAATTGTAGGAGTCTATTACAGTCACAAGATAGGCATGAATGATGTGCTTGGGAGAGAGTCCAAAGGGGTACAGGGTATCATTATTTCACTGAGAAGTGTTTCCAAGCAAATGTGATTACCACAGTAACAGTAAGGCCTTGCTCGAGGACTGACTCCCTGAAAACAGATTTCAGCGATGTGATTCCCCTGGGGTTACAAGGCTCCGTACACCACAGAGCTGTGGGCGTTGGAATCTGAGACCAAATCTCAATTTCACTAAACTCAATTATGTGAAATGGGACAAATCATTAACATTTTCAAACAGCAGTTTCTTAATAAAGCAACCAAACAGCATTTCCCTCAGAGGGCTACGTCAAGGATCCAATGAGCTGCATGTAATCAATCAAAAAATGCATAGGTTCCACTCTGAAACACAGAGTGTCATGAACACACATATTTACAGGTAGCCTCCACGGGCGGGGTGGGGGGGGGGGCGGTAGTATACAATGCTTTGGGCAGTAATCCAAAGTGTTAAATGTTAACTTTTTTGAACGTGACACACACACAACCCCACTGAACCAATGGAGTAGAGGCAAACCACACCCTCAAGATCCAGCTGTTTCCTCTCAGCGCCCTGACACTGGTCACCTCCCAGAGATCTGTCAGGCCTGCTTCTCCACTGTTTCTCATCATTATCATTTTCCTGCTCCTCCTACATGCTCCCACGGTAAAGGTTTCGTTATCAAACATCACCACCTTCATACCAGCAAGCCCAAGGGGGTACAGCTTCTTTTCCCTCTTCTTTCCAAACCCTGCCTTCTCTCCCTTCCCACCACAAACCCTGGGGTCTCTTCTAGCTAAAAATGTCCATGCCCCCTGTTAAAAACAGTAACAGCAGCAACAAACCTCCAAGAAAGCGAAAGCTGGAGTCAAATCCCCTCCCAATTAACCATCTCAGGAAAGGCCAAAATAACCTTCCCAGGGAAGCCCTTATCTTCTGCCCACACAAAGCTGCCAGAGCCTTCCCTCGTATGTACGGAGGCAAAATGGCGTCACTGGCATCCTCCCTAAAATGTCCATTTCTTCCTCCCTTCTGTCTGGGCTCTGCTTTCCCTGGTGACAAGCTGGAAAATAAAGTGGTGGTTATATGGTATCAAATTTACAGGTATTCCCAGGGTTGAACGTTTCAATTAGTTAAAAATTGGGAAACACCTTTCGAAAAATTAAAAACTGTAAGTTATAAAAATGACCTAAATTCCCCCTGTATAATCCTTTCATTTACATTTCTTCTTCTGTGTCTCAAAATTCCTCAGACTTCAAGCATTCTGACAAAGCAGAAGACACATAAACCATGCTTGAAACATGAGCAGTCTGCAGCTACCTGAGCTGTCAACGGACACTCGGTCATTTTGACAGAGTGTTTCAGAGAAGACACGCAAAGGTCCAACACTGGCAACGGCAGTCTCAAAGATCAGTCCCCATAGAATTGCTTAACCAACCAGGTTGCAGACAGTATGGCACAAGCGACCACTGTGTTTTACAAGGTCAGTAGCAGTAGCAGTCAGAACAAGCATGAAAGCAAAGTCACAACCCTATGTAAATTGAGAATAAATTCTAGAATATACAGTATGGGAGCCAGGGCCCTCGAGGCTCTAAGGTCTGTGTTCAGGAAGAAAAAATAACAAGTTACATTATTTAAGCAGTGGACTACATTTGGCCAAATTTATGCTCTCTATCCCTGCTTCTGGGAGAAGGGGCCTGCCATGCCCAGTAGCAGCACCTCAATGATGGGCCATCTTGAGCCTTCCTAAGCAACAGGCATCGATAACAAAGAGCAGTGAACACCAGCAAAACAAATGATATTACAAGCTCAAGTTTGTGGCCGGTTTCTATTCAGCGTGATGCTTTCATTAAGCACAAAAAGAAAAGATGAATGCTATAGGCAGCTAAAAGGAAGGCCCTTCCCAGCTCTGCCAGCTCCACCGTCACCTTGGAGTCTTGGGCAATTTCCCATCTGTTCTGCTCTTTTGCAAAGTGAGAGTTCTGGTATCAGGTAAGGAACAAGAACTGGGTCTTATCCATGTTTGCTTTCATTGTGCCAGGCACTTAACGCTGCCACTCAAATGTTGGTGTCATGAACTCTATGGTCTCCTTTAGCTACAAAATGTCCATGTCTTTAGATTCCTAAAACCTAAAGGTTCCTAAAACCAGCTAGGTTCCAAAACCATGTAATAAAGCGTTCATGAAAAGAAATAGCTTCCCCGTCACTTCTCTAAGTATACTCAGACATAAATACACAAAAACAGGCTTCAGAATAGGTTTATGGATATATATGAGGTGTGTGTCCTTCCACATTATTTTTAGGCTAAGGGAGGCACCCAGCGGGACAAGTCAAAGTATGATGAGTACTAAAATGAGATAATATAAAAGAAAAATATTTTTTACAACTTTGAAATATATGAAGTATTATATAACAGAGGCTTAGGAATTCTTCGACTATTTAGTGAAGTATAAATAACATTTTTGAAAAGATGGAACAGAGTACTGCTATTATTATAATTTTTATTTTAAACATCATCACCAAAAAAATTGTTACCTTCTGTACCAAGCAAAATACTTCAAAAGCCACAAGTGACCTAAATTATGTAACGCCTTTTGAGAATGTATAGGATGTTTCTGGTATACACATGTTTAATTAAAAAGAGTTGGCATACCTGGGCATTGAATTTTTCAAAATAAAAAATCTTATCTTGGGCAGGGGGGTGGGGGGAAGACTTACAGATGTGGGGTGGGCAGTCCCTGATTCAGCATAACATCTTATCAGGGAACGGCCCACCCTCCCTCCCAACCACTACAGGAAATGCATCACAAAGAAGTCTGCATCCTCAGGATAGCTCCATATCTCCTCAGTTAGTGTTTGGATTCTGGCCTTTATTAATGGATTTGTCAAAGGGGCATCCAACTTCTTGGGTATTTTTGGCAGCAATTATCTAAATACACTGACAAAGAAGGTTGCAAAGAGGTGTCAGCCACAAAAACTCTTGAAGACATAAAAATGGGGGTGTAGTAAACACCTACAAACCACAATTCCCAGCATGGACACCAGGGCAAATTCTGGGGGATCAGAGATATCCCTTTAGGATCTCCAGGAATAGACAATGGAATCTCACTGCCTTTGTCCTCTGAACCTAAGAAATCTATCCAAGTAAAAAGTACCTGCTTTGGAAGCTTCTGCCATGGGTGCTGGTGTGACAGGAAACAAGACCAATTCTGCAGCCGAATACAGGTGGAAAAAACGAATCTAGAGAATAATCTTAAGAATATGACATTTGAATATTAAAATGCCTTCTAAGCCTGAATCCCACATTTCAGTTTGGTCTTCGGAAGAAATAGCTTATCAGTTTCTCAACTAAAGAAAAAAAAATGTGGACAGTGTAGTATTTAAAATATACCTTACGTTCTTTCTTTTCAAAAATATAAATCCTCCAGTTAATCTTCTGAGAGTAAAAAGGACAGGAGACAAACCCGCACGGTATTACGGCACAGCTTCAAAAAAAAAAAATTTTAAGCTATAAAATAATCCTCAGGTGCATCAACTTTCTCAAGCCAGAAAATCGTGGTCTAGGAAAAGTTGGGTAATTAACAAGGTATTACAGTCCTAGAGTCAAATGACTTTTTCAACGTAGGCGACGCATATATAATCAACAGATTCAAGTAGCCAGATACCAGGAAAAGGCTACGCAAATGGTTATTTCACTTAAGGTTAGGGGAAACTTAAGCTCCAGAAACTGAAAGCTGGGGAGAGGAGGGGGAAAGGTCTAACTCCTGAAGTCTGTGTTTCCGCAAGTGGTAAACACAACTCCGGGTAACCCTAAGGCCAATACTCCGCATCAACTCTTTACCCCATTCGGCATGAGCCCAAAATAAAATCACAGCTAGTACCGCGCAGCCCTTAGGTTACGCAGGCGGCTGGACTTGCTCCAGGCACACAAAGCTGATGCGGGAGATCGAGGACCACACACGTGGGGGCGTTCGCTCGCGCCGCGACCCGCTGGGAGGCCCCCGCCCCCGCCTCGGGGGCGGACAGCTGCTGACCGTCACCTTCCTACTGGCCCATTCTCTGGGCCGTCCCCGAGGACTGCGATCGCCCCACAGCCCTTCCAAGCCGGCGAGGCGCGCAGGGCCCGGCGCCAGGGCGGCGCGGGGCACCTGAGGAGCGCGGCGGGGGCGGAGACAGAGACGCACCGGGACTGGGAGCAGCGGCTGGGCGCGCGGCCCTCCGGCGGGACCCACCTGGATCTGCAGCGGCACGAGGCGCACCTTGCAGCGCTCGCTCACCGCGAAGCCCTTGGGCAGGTCCACGTACTGGCCCCACTCTTCCGCGAAGAGCTGCACTACGAATTTGCGGTGCATGTCGATCTGGTCGCCGTACAGGCTGAGGAACTTCTGGATGAGCAGCTCGTAGCCCGCGCCGTGCGGCACGGACGAGGGCCGCGCGAAGACCGAGAAGCAGAAGAGCACGGGGACCGTGCCCGACGGCGCCCCCGCGCCGCCGCTGTTGGGGAGCGCCGGGACAGCCAGCTCCGCCGCCGCCATGTTCCCCCGAGCGTCTGCCAGCTCCGAGGCCAGCGAGGCGCAGACAGGGCTGGCCGCCGGGGCCCCGCCTCCCCGCGCCGCCCGCTTGCTCTGGAAGGCGAAGGGGCGGGCCCTGGCGGCCGCGGCTCGCGCGCCCTCCTCCGCCCCTCAGGGGGCGGACCGCGACTGAGGGCTGGGCGGTGGGGCCTGGGTGAAGGCGCTAGCTAGCGCCTGCGCCCGCTGCCGGGACCGCCCCCTCCAACCCGGACTTGTCTCGGCTGCCCGGCTGCCCGGCTGCCCGGCTGCGGGTCTAGTGCGCGGAGGAGGTTTGTGGCCCCCCCCACTGCCCTCGCGCTCCGCCCACCTTCCAATGAGCGCAGTTCGCGGGGAGTTTACGTGGGACCCAGGGCTGCCCGGCTGAATCTGCTGGGACGCGTTACCTGTTGGCCTTGTGCGGAGGGTTGCAGTCATTCCTCCTCGAGGATGGCAGCAGTAATCGCAAAACCTGTAGGTCTGGCTGATAGCCTAAGAAGAACCGCAGAAAGTAATGTTTCCAGAGGGCCACCCGAGGCTCAGAATTTCATATTTTTTCAGTCTCATGAAATACAATATCTCTAGCAATGAATCTGAGATCTTGGCTTCCCTTTATCTCAACTCAATTTCAGGAAGAACTTGGATTGCGGATGGCACTTGGATGGGAGTAAAAATCGAGACTTTATATTCAAACTGAGCGTTTGTTTTTCAGTAAAGTGGATCACCTGCAAATAAAATAATCCTCTGCCTTATGAACACTGTCAAGCACTGTATACAATGAACCGGAATTAGAGAAGCATATACTATGAACTAAGTTTCCTTAACACCAGGTCCTGGGAAAATAGGATCAAGAGTCTAAACATTTTTTAGATAGTAGGGGTTTCCTCTTCTTAGAAGGTAATAACTTTTTTTTTTTTTTAATTTTTAATGTTTATTTTTGAGAGAGAGCACACACGCAGCAGGGGAGGGACAGAGAGAGAGGGAGACACAGAAACTGAAGCAGGCTTCAGCTCTGAGCTGTCAGCACAGCACAGAGCCCCACAACGGGATCAAACTCACACACCATGAGATCATGACCTGAGTGGAAGTTGGGTGCTTAACTGACTGAGCCACCCAGGCGCCCCTGAAGGTGGTAACTTTTAAGTCAGGGTTTCTCAACTGGAACTGTTGATATTTGGAAGGCATACTACTTTTTCATGGGGGAGAGTTGGTGGGAAGGGGGGCTGTGGGGAAGCAGTATCTCCTGTATCTGTAGGATGTTTAGCAGCATCCCTGGCCTCTACTGAGTAGATGCCGGTACTCCTGGCTCCTTCCGGGTATTCATAATCAAAAGTGTTTCTAGATTTTGCCAAATATCCCCCAGGGGGCAGATTTGCTCCCAGTAGCTTTGCTACTGCTTTCAAATAATGCTAAGACCATCATTTGGCCTTTGTTGCTTATTTATACAGAAACCACTAAAAATAATGTGTTTTCTGGTTTCTCTTCAAACTTTGGGAGATTCCATTAAAAACTCTTATTATCTGAACCTGTCAAACCCAAAATAATGTTTTGGCAGCTATTACTCCATTGAAAGGTCTTCCATATACAGATGTGAAAGTCTATGCTAACAAGAGTGACAGTTGCAAAGCTCCACTGATGCCCTAGGAAAAGATAAGGAAAAGATAATTTGCAATTAAAAGCTAAATGCAAAAGCCAGAGGCCTATTTGGTAGCATTGAAAGAGGCTCTTAATTCCTGCAGTAGGAAGGCAGGGAATGCTCAGGACCAAGAGTGGGAGTTAATATTAAACGTAGCAGAGCTCTAAAGAAGGTTAAACTCTTATTAAACAGTACATATTTTCTATGCCAAAGCCAGAGCCCTCGTTGGAAACTGGACCATGACACATGGGATAGGGTTGATGATGCCCAAAATCATGAGTCCTCAGATTCCTTAATGACACATTCCTCCATTTTTTTTTTTATTTTTTATTTTTTTTGAAGACAGTGCAGAGGCTTTTCCTTAACAAGATGTGAACTCCCACCAGGATTTCCCTCCCATCTTTTCTCCTGGTACTTAGGCCCATAACATAGCCTTAAGTAACAGCAAAACTAGGCCACAGATATACTGGGCCTAAGAAGGAAGGGAAGGGACCATATCCCAAAGCAATAAGAGAATCCAAAGGAAGAGCTGAGAGATTCTCTGTAACACTGGATTACGAGGACATGTGATCAAAGATGTAGAGCAAAAATGTTATCAGTTAAGAAACACTCTACCAGCATATAAGTTTTAACACCATGGTAAAGCTTTGGAGAGATAGACTGAACACAGTGCATATAGGGTAGCTCCTACATGAGCCATACATGTACCTTTTCAACCCAAAGCTATGTTAACTGTTTTTCCCTCTGTCATAATACAGAGACAAACGGGCAGAACATCACATTTGTCCACTATATTGTATCACCCTGTTAATTGGACAAGATGAACATAAAGTAACTATTTGTGGAAGTCCTTGGTAAGACACAAGAACTCCAGAAGAGAGAGAACCTCTGAGAAGTTTTAGGGGCCCACAACAAGGAGATATGGGATGGTGACATGAAAATGTTTATATGGGAAGGAGCACCAAGTGTGACAATTTTCATGTTGCATGGTAATGCTCACTCAAGAGGATCCACTATAGAAGAGACACTGTACCAGCAAGTGGATAGCCAGAATACAAAAATGACTCTTTTTTTAAATGTTTTTTATTTATTTTTGAGACAGAGAGAGACAGAGTATGAGCAGGGGAGGGACAGAGAAAGAGGGAGACACAGAATCCGAAGCAGGCTCCAGGCTCTGAGCTGTCAACACAGAGCCCAACACAGGGCTTGAACTAACAAACCCTGAGATCATGACCTGAGCTGAAGTCAGACATTTAACCTACTAACCACCCAGCAGCCCAAAAAGGACTCTTTCTAATGAGTGATGAAAAGATGACCCAGTTGGGGTGCCTGGGTGGCTCAGTTGGTTAAGCCTCAACCCTTAATTTTGTCTCAGGTCATAATCTCATGGTTTATGAGATTGAGCCACTCGTCAGGCTCTGCACTGACAGTGTGGAGTCTTCTTCGGATTTTCTCTCTCCCTCTCTGCCTCTCTGTCAAAATAAATAAATAAACATTAAGAAAAAAAGACAACCCAATTAAAGTGGGAGGAAAGACTTGAACAAGCACTTGATAGAAATAGATGAACAATTGGGGTTCCTTGGGTGACTGAATCAGTTAAGCATCTGACTTCAGCTCAGGTCATGATCTCATGGTTTGTGGGTTCAAGCCCCACATTGGTCTTTGTGCTGACAGCTCAGAGCCTGGAGCCTGCTTCAAATTCTTTGTCTCCCTCTCTCTCTGTTCCTCCCTCATTCATTCTCTCTCTCTCTCTCTCTCTCTCTGTTTCTCTCTCTGTCTCAAAAATAAATAAACATTAAAAAAAAGAAAGAAATAGATGAACAAATATCCAACAAGGACATGAGAAAGTGCTTAATGTCACTAGTTGTCAGGAAAATCCAAATTTAATCAACATAAAAATAGTACCTAACATACACTAAAATAGATAAAATTAAAAAGACAATAAGAACAATACAGAACTAGAATTTTTATACATTGCAGTAGGTATGTAAAATGGCAAAACCCATTTTGGAAAAATTGATATTGTAGCTATTTACATAGTTAAACATACATCTATTCTTCATCCACAAAATCTCAATCCAAAGTATTTATGCAAGAGACATGAAAACCTATGTCCACAAACACTTATACACAAATATTTATGGAAGCTCCACTTATGATACCCAGAAACCAGAAATAACCCAAATTCCAGTGAGGTTTGATAAACTGTTGGTGATACATTCCCACAGTAGAATACCACAAGAAATAAAAAAGAATGAATATCTGATACACAGAACAACTTAAGTCAATCTGAAAAAACAACCACAAAAGCAAACACAGACTGTGTCTGAAGCCAGACACAAAAGAGTATATATTGTGTGTGATTCCATTCAAATGAAGTTCCAAAAACAATAAAACTAATCTCTGGTTTCCAGAGATTAGAAATCAGAACAATGGTAGCCTATGGAGAGATTGCAAGGATTGGAAGGGGGTCACAAGATTTTCTGTGTTGGTGGAAATATTCTATTTTTTGCTTGTATAATTAGGATCTGCATGCCCATTTTACCATATGTAAACTTTTACCTTATAATAATTTAAAATAAAAAGTACAACCCAATGTCTTATTTCTCTGATCCTAATTTCTGCCATTCACTCTCATTCCAGCCCCTGACCCATTGTCATTCCACATCCTTTGTGCTTGCCATTCTTTCTGCCTGAGAACTCTTCTTCTCCCAGGTAGCCACATTCTATCTGGGTTTTAAATGAATCTCTATGTGTTCCTGCTGCCTCACTGAATTTAGGTCTATGTTTAAATATGTACCTCAAATCAAGGAGGTCTGCCCTTTCTTTCTGACATACGATAGATCACTTACTGTGATTACAATAAATAAGTAAGCACCCATTTCCTGCTTCACTTCTCTTATTCTTAGCACTTATCCCCAGTTGTATGTATTGTGAGAGCAGAAACTTGTTTCTATTGTTCCGTGCTGTATGGCAAGCCCTAGAACACCGCCTGTCACACAGTAGGCTCTCCACAAGTATGATGAAGGGTTGTTACAATGAATGTATCTTTAAGCTCACTGTACTGAGAAATCAGAGGGATGCTCAATCAAAGATATTAGTATTTGGGTGAATGCTTTGTCTACATTGTAAATTAATCCTGGTACAGCTATTAGTAGAGGATCACTGGATTTCTTAGAAGGCTCCAAACAAGATTATCTGACCCCACTGGTATTTTCTGAAAACCTTGTGATAAGGAAAGCAAAGAATGTCAAGTATCAGACAGCTTTTACACCCTTCTCCACAGAAGATTCTGACAATTGTCTACAACGGAAAGGACAAGTGTCAAGATGTCATTTCATATATAGAGGCAATGTGGTACAATGAAATGACATGAAGAGGTACCAGGTAAATTTAAAAAC